ACTGCCATGACTGCACTGATGGTCCTCCAGACACACATCGCGGTGCGCCTTACACACTGTGCCCATTCACTGTGTGAGGATACCAGCTCCGCAAAGCTACTTTCCTTACAGAAGCTGGGAAAAGAAGATACCACCAAGGCTGAAAAGACTGAGCAGAATCACCCATAACAGATCAGAGGAAGAAAAAGCTCCAGTCCGTCTGTAAGAGTCAAACAACCCCATGTAAAATGAACAAAACATGAAGAGATATGTGAAAAGAAAAACACAAGTATACTTCTGCTGGTGGTAGGAAGAAGCACAAAAATTTGTCTCACCACTCACGGTCTACCATGCAAGCCCAGAGCCATAGACACTGTGCCAGTCAGCCTTCTGTTACTGTAACAAAACACCCAAAATGATGCCCATTTATCTGGGCTCAGTTTTGAAGGTTCCAGTCCATGAGCAGGTGCCCCCACTGTTTCAAGACAGTAGACATTGTAACAGGGAGCAGGAAACTCATCCAGGACACGAAGAGTCACACGAAGAGTGGATGGAGCGTTAGGGGCCTTCTGGTGATGGAGAGTACGACCCTGACGGAGATACTGGGACCACAGTCCCCCCTCTCTCCTGCCGTTCACATCCCAGCTGCGAGGTAAAGAGCTGTGTTCCGCTACTTGCTGATTCATGATGTACTCCCTGCCACAGGTCCAACAGCAATGATCTGCCTCACCGTGGACAGAAACCGCCAAAGCTGTGAGCTAAAACAAACCATTCCTCTTTATAATTTCAAGCATTTTGTTACAGTAATGGAAAGCTGAGTAACCCAGAGATGTTAGTTTATTATTCTGAAAACTAATCTTTTATACACTGATATATAAAGTGTACTTTACAATTAAAAAAAAACTCTAGCCGGGCGTGGTGGCTCACGCCTGTAATCCCAGCACTCGGGAGGCTGAGGCAAGAGGATCGTTTCGAGTTCGGGACCAGCCTAGGCTACAAAGTTAGCTCAAGGACAGCCCGAACTGCACAGCAAGACCCTGTCTCAAAAAGACAAAAAAAAAAACAAAAAAAACTTTAAACACTGAAAAGGAGAACTGGCAGGGAGTAACAGTTATAGGAGAGCCAGCCAGGAGTGGTTTCTCCCTGAAGTGGGGAGGCACAAGTGCTGAGGGCATCCAGGGAGGACAGTGCCAAAGCCGGAGACAAGCCCAGTAGGGATTAGCAAGGGCAGAGATGTAGATGAATAGAGGGTGAAGGGCCAGGGCAGTGCATTAGTGTGCCCCTGACCTCAGTGTTTCTCGAAGCACTGGCAGGGCAGTGTTATTAATGCCAGGATCTCTTAAGAATTTCTCAAGTTTACCTCAAACTGCAATCTACCTGCCACAGTCTCTAGACCCCAACATGTGCAAAGCCAGCTTGATTTAACCCTTAACAGGATATGTCTGCTGTGCTGAGAACAGGACAAGGTGCAGCAGGAGGACCAGGCAGAACCCTGAACAACCTAAGGACTGAAGAAGGTCTGACATCATTTGCAGTGGGACACACAGAAGGAGCCAGTTTTGGACATTTAAGTTCTGGGTTCCTATTAAAATACCATACTGGGGAGCTGGGGATTTAACTCAGCAGCATAAGCGCCTGCCTTGCAAGCACACAGTCATGAGTTCAATCCCCAATACCAAAAAAAAAAAAAAAAAAAAAGATACCATACTAGGCAAATGGTATCCCCCAAAATTCAAGTTCTCCCAAAATCTGTTAATGTTATTTGGAAACAGGGTCTTTGCAAATGTAACAAAGTGAGAAAGCCAAGTAGAGTGGCACATACTTGTAATCCTAGCCACTGGAAAAGCTGAGGTAGAACAATCAAAAATAGTGAGACCCTGTCTCAAAATAAAAGGCACTAAAGCGCTTGCTCAGCAAGCACAAGGTCCTTGGTTCAATTCTCAGTTTAAAAAAAAAAGGGCCAGGGGTTTGGCTCAGCGGTGTAAGTGCCTACTTGGTAAATGTAAAGTCATGAGTTCGATTCCAGGTACCAAAAAAAAAAGGAAGAAAAAAAAAAAAATGAGATCACACTGACCAGGGGAGGCTATAAGCCAATGACTGATATCCCGTTTTGTTGTTTTCAGAGATGGGGTTTTATTGTGTTGCCCAAACTGGCCTTCAATTTAAGAGTTCCCCAAGGAGCTGGGATACAGAGATATCCCACTCCACCTAGCAATCAGTATCCTTATACATGGGAACTCTGACACCATATGCAGACAGACAGTAGTCTCAGGAAAGTAGAGCAGTGATCAGTGTGCCACTGCCACAAGCTAAGGACCACCAAGGACTGGCTGGCACCCACAAGCAGGGCAAGGAAGGATCTCCCAGGGCCTCCCCAGGGAATGCCGGACTGCTGAAGCAGGAAAGAACCAATTCCTGTCGTACTGTGCTACCCGCTGCTGGCAGCCCCAAGCCTTGCCGCCTGTCACTCCTAAGGAGGCCTGTCTCTCAGGCCCAGGAAAGGCTGGATGGTGTGAAGGCAGCAGTTTAAGACATTTGGGTTCTTTGCCTGTCTCTTCCCCATGCTCTATCAACAGAGGCAAATCTTTATGTCTACTACATTTCCCATAAAATCAGGGAACCTGAACAAAATCACAGCTAAATTTGTATTCTCCATAGTCATGTATGCCTGGACACATATCTTTTTCTTCTTTTTTTCCTTTTTTTTGATACCAGACTCATGAGCTCACACTTGCCAGGCTAACCCTTATCTCAGTTTCACTCTGCGCAGAGAGTTTACCTTTATGCTGGTTCACATTCCCTTAAGTACGCTGAGAACAAACTAGATGCTAAAGGACAAAAGACAAGGCCCTATATATAAAAACACATTACCAGGACACAGAGGGAAAACCTGTCAGTACTGCACCCATTCTCTATACTGCTGTATTCATGTTCTAAGTCCTACTAAAACAATTTAGTAGGAACGCAGGGCCTCAGATCAGCACCCATTGATGACCTCACAGTTCCCCTGTGTCAGAAGTGTGGGCACAGAGTGGACCAGCAGGTTCTCTGCTTACAGACTCAAAGCTGGAACTAGCCCCGCTCAGTTCCACATGGCACCTGGTTCATGGCTGGCTGCTCCCCGGGGTTGTGTTCAGCTTCTTAGAAACACCTGATTAGCTCTCAGCCCCATTCTTCCCTTCAAAGCAGCCACCACAGATGGAGTGTCTCTCACAGTTGGAACCTCTCTGATCTCCCTAGCTTTTGGGCCTTCTATGATTACTAGCTCCACTCAGGTAACCAAGGATCATCTACCTCTCTTAAAAGTCAGTGATAAAGACCAGAGATATAGCTCAGTGGCACAGCGTGCCTGCCTGGCAAGCACAAAGTTCTGAGTTCAATTCTAGGAACCAATAAATAAATAAATAAAGTCAGTAAACCACATTTCCCAAGTACCACCTCAGCAGTGTTAGAGGGTGCTAATCAGAGGGATCTGAGACATCTTCCACAGGCATTCATTCCCACATTTTATGTACTAACACATAAAAATATAACACACTAGGGCTGGGGATTTAGCTCAGTGGCATAAGAGTCTGCCGTGCTAGCAGGCAGTCGTGAGTTCGATCCCTGGTACCAATAAAAAAGAAAAAGACCAAAAAAAAAAACTTGCAAAAATATAACACACTTCTGGGATACAACTTCAGAAAACAATGGTCACTTAGGCTTATTACTGCAAATTAACTGACAATGTGGTTGAAATAATGGATGAAGCATTAGGGACAAAATAATGGATGAAGCAAAAGGGGGCAAAATCAACTTTCTCAACCCATGAGTGGACTGAACTCAATTCCCTTATGCAGGGGCTTGATGGCTTACTTCTTTATGAAAATGAGAAAATAAACTTGCTCACAATGTATAAACAGGGCTAAAAAAGTAAATGACAAAAACAACGGACTGGGGTGCCAAGAAATATAGTGGTCACGAATCTGAACCCTCTCTCAACGGAGACAGAGGTACCAATGACCCCAAAGTCAACCCTCTGTTCAGAATGTCCCATCTCCCCCCTACCCAGCAGCCCCCTGAAAATTTCTCTTAAATGTACTAACACAACTGCGCGCAACGGCAACTACATTTGCTTCTTATGTTCCCAGCACTCAGGGACTCAGGCAGGAGAATCGTCAGTTCAAAGCTAGCCTGGGCCTTATATACATCGTGAAATCCTGCGTCAAAAAAAGCAAAGCAAAGGTATAAATGTATGTTCCTGAAAGGATCCTGGGTGGTGAGCATTATCTGAACATTTAAAGAGCCTGTACTTGCAACACCGGTTTGTGAAGCCAACCATCAACTCTCACTGCGCAGGGCCACTGACAGTTGAGGAACTCAGGCTGCGTGTGCAATTACCACGTTTATTACGTTCACTACTTAGCTTATTTTCAACTGTGTCCCCAAACTATCTTCTACCTAATTACGGCAAAAATCGCAGCAAAATCCACTACAGCCGGCCAGCCGCTGCAATTCCAGGACGCACTGCGATCCCGCACGGGGCGATGGGGGGCTGCGGACTGCCAGGCCCCCTCGTGGCAGGGTCAGCGACCGGTTCCAGGCCACGCAGACGCCTTCGGCCCCGCACCGCGGGCCGGGAAAGGGCACGGTCTCAGTGGAAACACACGGCCGCTGTCCCCAGAGCTCCCAGCCCTCCGGGGCTGCTCGGGATCCCCACGTCCCTATTCGTGGTTGAGGCCGTGGCGGGGTCCCCGGCACTGCCGGAGAGGGGACGGGCCAGGTGTCCAGCCCGCTCCTCTGCAGGGCAGGACGGAAGCCCAAGCCAAACCAAGCTAGCCCTCGCGGCCGGGTGACTCGCGGTGCTCCGGCCGGACCCGCGTGCGCCCCACCGCTAAGAAGCTGGCGAGAGCGGAAACGGAGCCCGGAGCCGCGAACTGCAGCGGCGGAACGCAGGTCCCGTCAGAAGCCTCTAGCGAGGGGGCGGGAGCGCGCAGCGGGACGGCAGGAGACAGCGCGCAAGCCCCGGGCGCCGGACTCACGTTTGTATTCGGCCATCAGCCTCTTAAGCGCCGTGCCCGCCATGTCCGGCAGCAGCTGCGCTCCGCAGCCTTGCCTCAGTCCGGCCCGTCGCGCCCACCCCGGTGCCTGGGGCTGCTTCCGGGTCGCCTCAGCGAGCCAGAAGTGCTTCCGGGACGGGGCGGGGCGCGGCGCGGCGCGGCGCGCAGGCGCGGCCCACGTGGCGTTCGGGGGAGGGGGGGGCGTGGGTGGCCACTGTAGACCGGTTGGCCGCTTCCTGCACGCTTTCTCCGGAGTCTACGGGCACGCTGCACTGGTCCCCGTCGCTTGTCTGCCTCCTCTGGTCAGAAGACACACCACAGGGAAGCCTGCAGTTCTTTCCCCGGTTCTGGCGCCAAGGGAGAAGACTGCGCCTCTTTCCAGCCCCGGAAAATGCGAGCTCAACACCAATGAGCTCATCTGACACCCACCTCTTCCACTGCCCCGCTCTTTCCCAGGCATCCTGCTCTCATTCTTAGCACTGTATCCACTTACCTTTTCAAACGTGGTTTAGTTTGTATCCAGATGAGTTCCAGCCCCAAATGACCCAAGATTTAAAAAGGCAAAACGTGTTGTGAAAGCCAGATGCGTTTCTCACCACAGCGGAGCCGGACAAAGGTCTCAACTTCAGGGCCCTGCAACCTCCATAACTCCCTCCTCAGTCACGGTTGTTCACAGTTCAGCTTTAACCGAACACACCTCGCAACTCAGCGTAGTCCATAAGGGCTGTGTGCAGTGGCTGTGTGGCAGTGGTTTCCTAAGCAAGGACTCTAGGGAGACTGACTCAGTGTCTTACCAGCTGAGGTCCTAAACAGAAATACTGAAATATCCTAAACTGGGCGTGGTGGCACATGCCTGTAATCCCAGCCCTGGAGACGGAGGCAGGAGAACTGCTGTGAGTTCGAGGCCTGCCTGAACTGAAAAGTGAGACATCTCAAAAAGAAAAAAAAAAGGGAAAATATGCCCTAAAACCTAGACTAACATCCAGACCCACCTGCCTGGCCTGGGCAATGTGCCATCAGGACAAACCAATTTCCAGCCTCTGTCAAGTCCCTTCCTGAGCAGCCTCACGGGATAGTCTGTGTGCACACTGAGCTCTTAACATCAAAGGCGGTGTGTAATGTGAGCCAAGAGACAGAATACCAAACTATATTTACTGTTTACAGTAGTAAAGGACAACAAATAATGTACAAATTGGTGAATAAACACAATAGAACAAACATCCCACCCCAAGCCCGTACAGCAAAACAAAGGAAAGAACACTTTTTGCAGGATTTCAAGCAAGCAAGAGATGGCAGGTCATTGTCAGGTGACTGTCAAAGTCAGAGAATGGCTGTCAAGCAGCAATGGATCCTTAAAGAAGGACAACAGGCAGAACTATGAACATTGTAATTGGCATAGAGCCCAAGGTATGTCACAGAACTGGAGTCACCATACTAATACATGACATCGAGCAGCGGAGCACAAATCCATGAGAAACACACACAGTCACCTTTCCATGGGTTTCTTTTGCAACCACACTTTGAAGTAGCTCTTTTATACAATATGTAACTGCAAATTCAGGAAACTCAAACTTTTTTATAAGGAGACCATAATCATTAATCAGAGGCAAATATTAGAAGTCTGAGGCCCCAAAACAATTACCAGTTGAGAAATGGGGTACTTTATCCATGTTACGAAAAGGGCAAAAGCTAGTTTTTATTGTGCCAATCTTCATTCATGTACCCTTCACCAGGTACTGACCAGAGGGATAGTGTCCTGCGCTTCAGGGAGTAGAGAGACCTGGGTGCACATTACTGAAAAACTCATTGCGTGTTTTTTCAAGGACCAGTCCAGTTTTTCCCTTCAACTTTACCACATGCTTGACAAAGCCTAAACTTGCAATACTTAGCATTGTAGTAACCTGTGCCTACACCAAACAGTAAGTCAAATCCTGCCCTCCTTGTCCCACAGCCGCAGCAACTGGGAGAACGATAACTACATGATTACAACATGATTACAACAAGGAGCTCAGGAGCATCTCAACTCTGGGCTGAGAACCTGGTCACAGATGAAGCTGACATTTGACAAGTCTTGGGGGAAAATGTTTGGGAGGGGAGAGAAAAGCAAAAATGAAAAAAACCTCACAACTCCGTTTTATCTAATCAAAAAACAATCTGACTGGCCCAATTTAAACTGTAGACATGTCTCTGTAGATGCAGTTTTGCAGAAGTGCACCCGACAGAGAGGGTTGTTTGGTGACTGTCCTCGGCTTCCACAGACTCCGTGATCAGCTTGGTCGTGTGCTCACCATTCCACAGCGAATGCAGGGTGCAGAATGGTCCCTCTGGAGACTGCACCTCCCGTCTGCTGCTGGAACACGTCAATGGTGTCTTCGTCCTCCATCTCCAGCTGTCGGTCATGATGGCCAGCCCAGTGAGAGGATACAGGAGATGGCAGAAGGGAAAAATGAATGGGCACAGTGTTCCCTGATCTATTCCCCCATACTAGAGTCAGCCTGCCCACCTCTGGTATGGGTCATGGCAGGAAAGAAGTGTCACTGTGGAGCCACAACTGCTTACTCACCGTTAATCCAACTAATTTCCCCTAACAAAACTTAGGAAGAATAGTCACAGCTAAAAACTTTTAACTGTCCGAAAGTCATTAAAATTAAACTGAGATGTCTAAACTTTACATTGAAAGTGACACAGACTCCGATTGCAGTGAAGTACCTCCCCAGGGTGTACAGAAAGTACAAGGGGTCATAAAGTAAAAGACCAAGAAGAGAGACTCTCACTGCTGGTGCTCCCTGCCTTCAGTGCCAGGGCAGAAGCCAGCAAACCTTTCCCATGTGTTTCTCTTCTGATAAATCAAGTACAGAAACATCCCCTAACCTCTTCCCATGCTGAACACAAAGGCATGGGCAGCAGTCCCCATGCCCGTCCCCCCCAACACACACCAACCCCGGCTGGGAGCCAGAACATGTCTGCAGCCTCCTCAGGAGAAGTCTCTCTGCCCCTGCTGCAAACACGAGAAATTCCCAAGGCGACAGCCAACATCTGTGCTGTCACCTGACCTGTCGTGTCTGGAGCTTTCAGAGGGTACTCCCAGCCCTTCCAGGCCTTTTTCCCCCACCCTGCTCCCTCCCTTGGGCATTCTCAGCCCACCACTCTGTCTCATGAAGACAAGTTCAAAAAGTAGCTAAAAATTAAGTGTTTCAAAACTACTTTCATTATTTGACATAAATGTTCTGCAAAAAGATTTTCACATTGTAAGGGAGAAAACAAGCTACTGTCTCTATTTTACAGGGACAAAACCAGGACTTCCAGAGATTAAGTGATTGAGGCCACAAGGCCACCAGGGGACAGCCAGAGCTGCCACCTGAACTTCGGTCTGAAGCACAGATAGCTCCAAGCCTGAAACTCTGCACCACGAGACACACCGTGTGGCAGGCACATGTGTGAAGCAAACCCTGCGCTCACGGTAACAGGGAGGTATGACAGCACCTCCTTCCCACCAATCCCTGAAAGCACAATGCTTGCAGGGCATGAGACCTGAACCCAAGGCCCATCTATAAACTGACTAAAGTTGCAAACGAAGAGTCTTGGACAACTGGTGGGAAGGGGCTTCTCCTCGCCTTCCTGGTTGATTCCAGGTCATTCTCCAGCTAAAGACCCAGGGCTCCCAAGCCTGGGTGTCTCCAAACAGCAAGGGTAACATGTGATAGAACCATTATATCATCTGAAAAAGTTTATCCCAAAATACCAAAATTTTTAAATCTGCTAAGAATTATTAAGAGCCAGGCGTGGTGGTGCACATCTGTCATCCCAGCACTCAGGAAGCTGAGGGAGGAGGACTGTTTCAAGTTCAAGACCAGCCTGGGCTACAAAGTAAGCTCAGGGCCAGCCTGAACTGCACAGGGAGATCCTGTCTCAAAAAGCCAAAAAAGGGACCAGGGATTTAGCTCAGTAGTACAGTGCCTGCCTGTCAAGCACAAGGTTCCAAGTACAATTCCTGGTACCCAAAAAAAAAAAAAAAACCAAAAATTATTCAGAAAATATAAGACCCACTTTAACATTGCATGGTTTCCCCTTACATTACAAACATAAAACATAAATAATGAAGAAAATAAAAATCAGAAATGGGAAAAAGGGGGAAGGGGACCAAAACATGGTGGGAAGGGAAGGGATCACAGGAAAGAGGATGAAAACAAGGAAGAGGTGTCATGTGCACAGACAGCTCCCCACGAGGAATGTGATCATTACATACTGCAAACACAGGCTAGTAATACACATGGGGAGGAGAGGCCCTGTAAACATTCCTGAAACACAGAAAACACAGGCAGGCCCGGGGCACAGCCAGCCACATACCTGCGCTGGAGTGTCTGTTTCATTAATGGGCTGCCCATCAAACCTGAATCTAATCTGTCTCATCGACAAGCCCTGGAAAGAAAACAGAATTACGTTAAATCTTCACAGCTGAATTTAAAAAAAAAAAAATCAAGAACCAAAATACCAGAATTCTGCACAGACACACGCATGTGCCTGGTGAGCAGAAATACTGTGGCCGCGGCCATATCCCAGCGCTCTCCTGGCCGCCTTCCCGCCACCTCACTCGGCACCCTGCCCTGACTGCCCCTCCTCCCAGAAGCCAGCAGGACTTCTACACAGGGCTGGCACTTCTGGTTCCCCCTCCGCTGGCACCTCTGGTTCCCCCTCCGAAAGCTCCAGACACGACAGGTCAGGTGACAGCAAGGGACAAGGGATGAGGTAAAGGAAGCCAGGACGACAGCCGGAAGGAGGGGCATTTTCCATCCAAAAGAAGGGCATAGCCATCTCATCCGGTCCAAGGGGCAGGTGAACAGAACTGTTTATCAGGCGGCAGTGTTAAAAAGGCAGGTGTCTCCACGCCACCTAGCAGCTATCCAGGAGTGGCACTGATGAACACACACAAACCCCAGGGACAAAGCCAACAGCAGGGGCAGGCATACAGAGGCCACGCTCTGGGCACTGGACCCTGGAATCTGGGGGTCAAGGGACAACAACTGCAGGCCAGGGTGGAGGGGCCATAGCACCTGGTGCTTCAAAGGTCACAGCCATACCCTCAAGTCAGCCAACAGCGCCCCAACTCCAGGAAATTGTCCCGTGAAGCTAGCAAATGAGACACCTACTTCCCAGAGATCTAGGTGAGGACACCAGGGACAAGTGGCCAGCCAGAAGCAAGGAAAAAAGCCCACCCCTACCCCCTCCACCCTCCAACTCACTTCTGGGACACTTGGTGGAGCATGGGAGCTCAGCAGTCCTCAGATTACAGTGTCTGGGCCCCCAAGGCCACCAGCCCTGGGCAGGCAGCCCCTGCCAACATACCCACCCTCCCGCACAGGGCGCCAAGAACATTCAAGCGAAGATGCCAACAGGAAGTCAGACCAGAAGAGGAAAGGGAAGTGAGACGGGAAGGAAGGCAACAGCAGTTACAGCCCACACACACACACACACACACACACACACACACACATGAACGGGCACCCTCAGAGCTCTTAGGGAAGTAAAAGAAACTATATATGCACATATCCAGAAAACACAGAGTGAGTTGCCTCTGGGAAAGAAAGAAAACTCAAAATAACAGGAAAAAAAATTTTTGTAAACTAAAAATCACCACAGAAATAAAAATGACCAGCAGGGTGTAGTGGTGCATGTCTAAAATCCCAGTATTCCAGAAGCTGAGACAGGAGGGTCACAGGAAGTTCCAGGCCAGCCTGGCATACATAGTGAGATCCAGGCCAGCCTGAACTGCACAGCTAGAGTCTGTCTCAAAACAGACACAGACAGACAGAAAGAAAGAGAAAAAAAAAAAAAAAAAGAAAGAAAGAAAAAAATGGCCATGTAAAGTGGGAAGATAAAGTTAAGAAAAGTTTCCAGAAAGGAGACTAATAGCAAAAACAAAATCTGATAGAAAACATGAAAAAAACTATCAAAGAGAAAATACTGAAGATAGTCACCTGTAGGAGGACTGGAAATTCCAAAAAGGGGGAGTAGAAATTACAAAAGGACACAGGCTGGCAGAGAACTCACAGACTCCCATTTCCTAAAGCCAAAGTAAATTTCTAAACAGGAAGGGGCCACAGAGCACTCTGAAGGCAAGCACCTGTGGGGAATCTCAGCTGGCCACTGCCAGAAGCCAGCTGTGGGGCTTTCCAAGACAATGCAAGTGACACACAAAAACAGAGAATCAGAATGTAACCAGGCATGGTGGCACACACTTGTAATCCCATCACTCAGAAGGCTAAGGCAGGAGGACTGCAAGTATCAGCCCAGTGGAGTCAATTTAATGACCTAGCATAACTGTCTCAAAAATAAAAAAGGGCTGGGGATATAGCTCAGTGGGAAAACTCAGGCTCTAATGCCAGTACTGAAAAAAGAAAGGAAAGGGAAAGGGAAGAGAAGGGAAGGAAAGGAAAAAAAAAAGAAGTCTATGCACACAGAGACTCACACAAAACCACAGTAACTTCCATAGAAGAAAATGGACTGCAACCTGGAGGCTACCTATAACCAAAGTCCCGAGTGGGAAGGTCATTTTCAGCTGTCCTCTTTCTGAGATCTGAGAGGCTATGCCCCAAGGACAGCAAGACTAATCCAAAGGGCGAAGAGGGAGTCTCCCAGGGGTACACTGGAAGCAGAGACGGCCCAGTGTGTGGCATCATGCCCTCCAGGCAACTCTCAGTGCAGAAGACAACAGAAATGGGGTAACCAATTAGTGATGCATGCCTGGAAACATGTACACACACAGCAACATGCAGACCAAGCCAGACAAGGGCAGGGGCAGCCAACCTAGCACTGTGGCTCCATCCCAGACAGTGAGCACCGCCCAATGTGGCCACGGCTGGGGGACAGTGGGATGCAGTGCGATGCGCATGGGGTGACACTCTCCACAAAGGGACCCCACATGGATCCCAGAGAGAACAAAACAGCCAAGTGAACCCAAGTATACCTGTGTGAGCCAGGCACTGTCAGCCCAACCAGAAATGAATGCTCTAACTAGTCACTTGCTATTTTGAAACCCAGTAAATGAAGGGAAATCAAGCAGTTTCTTTCCTTTGCTTGGCAGAGTGGAAAACCAAACCATCAACACTGACAGACAGTGTCTCCACAGGCAGAGGGACCTAGAACACACCATTGGCCACTCCTGAGAAATTCACAGGTCAAAGCTGGGACCCCCAGCAGCAGGCAGCACCAGGCCGAGCGCAGCCCCTAAAGAGCAGCCCACCCCAAAGGGACTTCGGGCTGGCCGGTGGCCCAGCTGCGCACCTGCCGCTCACAGTAGGCCTTCATCAGCTTGCTCAGCGGGGTGTGCCTCTTAATCTTGAACTGTACCACCGAGCCATCCTGCCCTGCCACCTTCAGGTTGATGTGGTCGTTCTCAGTCTTCACGCCCTCCTGCAACAGACAAAGCAGGGCTGGATGGTCCCAGGCCTCCCAGCAAGCCTTCGGGTCACCCATGGGGGTTTTCTTAAGGTCATTAGAACCAACCTAATTCTTTAAATTCCCCAGCAATTCACAGCCATTCATGTGACTGTTTTATTTTTACACAGAACTTATTTTTAACTTCCACCCTCTAAGCATCCATGTGTAGGAGACACTGCAATGCTGGAGTCCTCCAGGTTAATGCCAAGAAGCAAGCTCCTCTGACACATCCAGGAGAAAACCCACCTGTTTTAAAGCTCTCACACTGCTGGTAAAAACCCCATCCACAGATGACACAAGCTGCGCACCAGGAAATTCATCAAAACAGGACAGAGCGCAGGCAACAAGGGGGACCACCGCGGCAGCCTGTGTGTGGACGGCAAGCCCCTGCCCAGTGGGCACAAAGTGGGCAAGAGCCATCTTCCTTGGAGGGTGGGGCTCAGCCTGACCTGGAGCCAACAAGGGCTCTGCAGCACAAAGACAACAGAGAAAAGCAGGCACAGGAGCCACTCCTGGAATTTTACTCTTCTGTAACTCACAACTCACACAAACTAATCAACAGCAGCTACTCGTCGTTTCTTCTGGCCTGGAAACACATTGTGAACTGATCAGAAAGTTTTCACTCAGCGCACTAAGCCAGCACTGGGGCTGCTTAGCCTACAAGGGAAGTGAGATCCCACAACCACTTTCTGTTTTCTTGACTGGGGACATAGCTCAGTGCTTGCCTGGCAAGTACAAGGTCCTGCATTCCATTTCTGGTACCAAAAAAAACAAGTTTGAGCACTTTATCTTCAGTCGCCAGGCCCACTGAAGGGCCACTGTGCTACCTGGCACTTTCCAGAAAGAGTCCACGGAGCCATTTGCTTTTTAATGAAATGAGACTCCCCAGTGGCCTGAAGGACCAGGCCTCCTGGCAAAGTAATGTCTATCTGTCTACTCACCCAACCCTGTGCACCCAGGCAGCAATGGGGGGTGGGGGGGCCTCTGGAGCTGCCTCCCTCCCTCAGAAGGGGTTCCTGGGGGTCCTCAGTCTTACTCCCTACACATTGGCTTAGAAAAGGGCAGTGGGTGGGCACATGAGTCTCGGCCCATGTGGCCAGAGAAGCGGCCCCAGGGTGACAGCCTCCAGCTCACAGATGCCAGAAGGTGGCTCCAGCACAGGCAAGTAAGCACAAATGACTGGCAGCTTCCCTGCCACAACCAACGGGGTGCCCCACTGAGCGCCCTTCTGAGCTCTGAGCTCCTCTCCCCAAAAAGCAAAGCATTCACTGGCTTTTTTAAGGTTGAGTTATGTTCAAAACTGCCAGCCACAGGGTCAGAATGGAATGCCAGGGGCCGGGGATTTACCTCAGCGGCATAAGCGCCTGCTTTGCAATCAGGCAGTCGTGAGTTCGATCCCTGGTATCGATAAAAAAAAAAAAAAAAAAGCAGAGCGCCACCCCCCAGCACCTGTCACCGGCCCTGGAGCAGCCTTGCTTAGTAGTGGTACACACCTAAAATCCCAGCACTCAGCAGGCTGAGGCAAGAGGATGGCTGTGAGTTTCAAGGATTGCCCGGGCTTCATCAGAGAACCTCTCTCTCAATAAACCCGAAAACAATGCCCTCAGTTCACCGTGGTCAGTTCCCCACCTCTGTTGCCCAAGGGGACAACCGCTGTTTTCTCCCAGCCACCACCACACGGACCAGGTGTGGCTAGCGGGACCTGGGTCCCTGAGCAGAGAGCTGTTCCGAGCAGGACAGAGCCAGGGTTCCAGGCCTGTGGGTGGAGCAGCAGCCACTCGGTCACCACAGAGCGAGCCCCGGACTGCACTTCGGAGGTCAGTCGGCCCCACGTGGAGTTGATGTATTTAGCTTCATTAAGAGGACGCCCCCGCAAACCACTGAGGCCAGGCCGGCTCTAACATGCGGCAGGCAGGCTAAGCTGGGCTGGGGTGGGCTCTATCAGGACGAGGGTCCTAAGCGCTGGACCTCTGCCCCACCTACGGAGCCTGAGCAGACCTTGCAGCAGGAGCTGGTTAGGGCAGACCCCACAAACAGCTGAGGCAGAAAAGTCTGCACGGTCAGGAGCCAGCAGCCTGGGCCTTCCCAGGATTCCAGTCCAGCCTCAGCCAGGGCGAGCGCCCAGGTCCCGGAGTGGAAGACAACCTGCACCCAACGCCACCAAGGAGGGCGCGCAGCGAGAGCCGGAAAGACGTTCCGCCGCTCGCGCAGATGTGGCTGCAGACGCGCCCGCCGGACGCAGGACAGACGCCACACCGGCGCCAGAGCCTAGGACAGGGTCGCGGGGGGCGGGGCTCAGCGGGCGGAGGCGAGGTTCCAGGGGCAACACGGGGCGGGGCCAAGGGGCGGAGACAGTGGGCGGGGCTTCGGCGGGCGCGCCTCGGGGGCGGAGCGCGGGCGCGGCCAGCCTGCGCGGGCGCTGTGGGGGAGGGGCGGGAAAGGGGGGGAGGGGCGGCGGCCGGGCGCGGCCCCGCAGACTGAGTCCCATGTGGGGCCCGCGGCACGGCAGCCCGGCTCACCTTGGGCTTCTCCTCGGACATGGCTGCGCGGCGGCGGTGGCTGGCGACGGGCGGCGGAAGTGCAGTGCGGAGCAGGCGAGTCACGCTTTGGGCCCCGCTGCTCTCCCGCCGCAACTGCTCGCGGGGCCGCGCTTTATCCTCAAATCCCCGCGCGCCGGTTGGCCGGCGGGGATCACGTGGTTGGGCGCGTGCACGAAGCGCGCTCCCCGGTATCGGGCACGCGCCCGGCCGGTCGCGCCTCCCGGGGGTTGGAAGTACGTCACGGTCGGCACCGCCGCGAGTGCGCGCGGGCGCGCGGGCGCGGGATCGGCGTGCACCGCAGTGTCTAGAGGTCGGTAGCGCGCCGAGTGCCAGGTCAGCTCTGGGGCAGCTGAGCGCCAGCTTTGTCCCTTGCCGCCCTGCACCGATTCTCGTACTGACCCGAGTACAGACTGCGTTTATGGAGGAAGAGAGTCGGGGCACTTGGGAGCCCCTTGGTGGCTTAGGTAGCAGGCAGAGGAAAAGGGATGCCTCACCGACCAAAGGCAGGTGTCACCTCTGCAGGCCCTGGGGTGCCCACGCTGCTGACCTGCTCCCCTCACTGTGCACTTTGTTGGTGCAGGGTGCAGCAGGCAGCACAGACCCCATCCTTCTGCCATCTGCCCACCTCACCCATCATGGTCCTACACCCCTCCTGGGTGTTGGACAGATCATCAGAAGACCTCTCAGGATGGGGAAGGCCCCTTCTCACTGCACCTCTCACTCTGAACTCACCCAGGTTGCACAGCTTCTATTTCCCCACAGAGCCAATCTGATGTGTTCTGAAACCCAGAAACAAAAGTCGGGCAGGCTACCTATGCCCCTGTGTTGTGATCAGTTTCTGGGATGCTGTCCTAGTCCTCACAGCCACACCTCACTGTGACTCATTTTACACAGAAGAGAACTGAGAAGGCAGAATGACACGGCCAAGGTCACAGTGCTAGTAAATGATACAGCTAAGACATCAGGGTCTCCTGCTAGCTTGAGCAGTAGCCAGACCCTCTTGGTCCATGGCTCCAGAGGCCTCTGAGTATCTGGTTGGCTGAGCACTGTAAACAGAAGGTCCTGGGGAGCCAATTCTCTAGGGTTCCCTGGGGCACAGTCTCTTCAAAGCAAAGTCTTTTACTTTTACAACTCAGTCTGTGAAGGGTGCAGTCTTGCTCTGTCCTGGCTGCCTGAGACCAGCGGCAAGGAAATAGAAGTCTCCTTTTGTACCTAAGTGTCTACACCATCTCCCGAGGCCTAGAGACAGAGTGCCACCCATTTCCTGGGAAACTGAAGAGGCTTAGAGCCAAATATCCATTGACTTGAACTTCACAAATGTCTACCAGTCTTGAGCATTTGCATTTTCAGGAGAGTTGCGAGGTCTCTCTGTGACAGTTCCATCAGAGCCAACCTCACACCACAGCTGGCCCTGAGGTTTGGTTCTGCCTTCTGGCTTTGGAATGATGGCTGTGTCTGGCCAGAGGCTGTGCAAGTGAAGGGTCAGCTCAGACTGTGCATCTGGAGAGGGGAACAGTGGAGACCCACCCCTGCCAAGGTGAGTGTTGGGGTCAGAGCCTCCTCGGCTGGTGGGTGTAAGGTGACTTGGAGGCAGTCTGTACCCCATCAGCTCCAGGACACTGTTAATTATAAAACATGACATTGTGTGCACCAACACACATAACACTGTGATGAGCTATGATGGAAGACATTGGGCTCTGAGCCATTACCGTGAAAGCTGGCATGAAATGCAGTAGTAAATGTGCTGACAATAGGAAATTTCTTGAGCCTGTCCCAGCCTCTGAGGCTGAGGCAGTGACCAGCCTGGGTGGCAAGACTATCCCTCAAAAAAAAAAAAAAAAGTTTGGGGGCTGGGGATTTAGCTCAGCGGCATAAGCACCTGCCTTGTAAGCAGGCGGTCGTGAGTTCGATCCTTGGTACCGATAAAAATGAAAAAGAAAAAAAAAGTTTTTAGTTTTGCTAGAAGAGAAGCTCTCAAAACTGGAGCAAAAGAAAGCTTGGTTGCTAAAAAGATCAAATTAAAAAGAAACCAAGTTCCCTGACTGACGAGTTTTCAATTTTTTTTTCTCATTGAAATAAAATGGATTTGAAAAAAATTAAAAGCCACATGTGTGGGGCTGGGAATTTAGCTCAGCGGCATAAGTGCCTGCCTTGCAAGCAGGCAGTCTTGAGTTCGATCCCTGGTACCGATAAAAAGGAAAAAAGACCAAAAAAAAAAAAAAAAGCCACATGTATACTTTACCACAGGATAATACAAAACAATGGCCCAAGGGCATCGCAGGACAGAGTGACACACAACCATCCTTGCTAGCTCAGATTGCAAAAATAAAAGACTTGACTTTGAAGAGAAAGCCCTAGGGCACCCTGCCTCAGAAAGGACAGAAAGGGAATCCTCGGATTCCCAGCATTTGGTCCACAGTTATCCACCCACTCGTGAGGCCTCTGGAGCCATGGTCCAACAGGGCCTAGCTACTGTTTGAACAGGCAGTGGAGCTTGGCAACATCTCCTTGGTGCCAGGGTTTTTTTTTTTTCCCCCCCTTTTTTGTTTTTTGTTTTTTGTTTTTGTCAATACCAGGGATCGAACTCACGACTGCCTGCTTGCAAGGCAGGCGCTTATGCCGCTGAGCTAAATCCCCAGCCCCCACTGATGCCGGTTTTACAAGCATGCAAATGCAAGAGTTATGGGATGGGGGGGGGGCCTTCCACCACACTTCAGACAAAGGCCTGGGAGACAGGTAGTGTGTACCTGAGCGGACAGTGTTGGAGTAAAGAAAGTTGGAAAAGTGAGGAACATAAAAGGTCAGGAAAGCTATAAAAACTGAGCAATGCCAGCCCAGGAGTGGTCATGAGCACTACAATCACCAGCAGTGCCATGGAAGTGTGGCTGCACAAGGGGTTAGGAGCTTGCACTGGATTGCGGCTCGCTCTCAGTGCTGGACCGAGTCAGAGGATTTAACATTCACCCAGCTGGGGTTCAGTCTTGCTTTGGTTCCATTGCTTTCTATCTACCTAGTCTTCCTTGTAATGGTTGATACATCATATCAACTTGAGAAGTCCAGCAGC